CCCTAATAATACTGAGAATATAAACTCCAGAGACTGATCCTCCCAGACAGTTGTTACCCTAATAATATTGAGAATATAAACCCTAGAGACTGATCCTCACAGATAGCTGTTACTCTAATAATACTTAGAATATAAACCCTAGAGACTGGTTTTCATAGACCACTGTTAGCTCATTAATTCTGCAAATATAAATCCCACAGACTGATCCTTACAGACAGTTGTTACCCCAATAATGCTGAGAAGGTAAATCCCAGAGACTGATCCTCACAGACAGCTGTTACCACAGTAATACTGAGAATATAAATTGCACAGACTGTTCCACATAACCAGCTGTTATCCTAATAATATTGACACTAAGTCCCAGGGACTGATCCTCATTGGCAGTTGGTACCCCAATAATACTGAGATTAACAATCCCAGAGATTTATTCACGTGGACAGCTGTTACCACAGTAATACTGAGAATATAAATCCCAGAGACTGAATCTTGCCGACAGCTGTTACCCAAAAATACAGAGGTTATAAATCCCAGACAGCTATTGCCCCAACAATACTGAGAATGTACACCTGAGAGACCGATCCTTTGGCTGCAGTTACCCCAATAATACTATGAATATTAACTCCACAGAGTCTGGTCTTCACACACACAGCTGCTAGCCCATGGATACCAAGAATATATACCCCAGAGAGACTGATCCTCGTGGATCAGTGTCTGGGATTTATACTTTTGAGTATTATTGGGCTAACAGCTGTTTGTGAGGATCTGTCTCTCTGGGATTTATATTCTCAGTATTAATGGGGTAACAGCTGTCTGTGTGGATGTCTCTGGGGTTTGAGAATTAGGTAGTACGTTGGTGAGGCTTCTTCTGGACTACTGTGTGCAGTTTTGATCACTTGTTATAGGAAGGATGTTATTAAACTGGAGGGGGTTCAAAATAGATTTCCCAGGATGTTGCCAAGAATGGAGGGTTTGAGATATAAAAATAGCCTGGAAAAGCTGACACCTTTTTCACTGAAGTGTAGGTGGTTGAGAGATGACCTTCTAGAGATTGATAAAATCATTAGGGCATAGATAAGGAGAATGACCAAAATCCCCTAGACTGGGGAAGTTCAAAATTAGGGGCCGGCCATATTATTAAGGTGAAAGGAGAAAGATTTTTAAAAGACATGAGGAGCAACCTTTTTTACGCAGAGTGGTTCGTATGTGGAATGAACTTCCAGAGGAAGTGGTGGATGCAGGTACAGTTACAGCGTTTAAAAGGCATTTGGGTAAATTCATGAATAGGAAAGGTTTGGAGGGATATGGACCTCCAGGCAGTTGGGATTAGTTTAGTTTGAGAATGCGGTCAGTGTGGGCTGGTTGGACTGCAGGGACTGTTTCTAACTTGTATGATTTTATGGTTTAATGTTCTATAACTTTGGGTCCGTGGAGAAATTAGTGAAACTGTGTTTGTTCTCCTTCAAGCAAAGTGGGCTGAGGAGGATGTTGAATTAGATGTTTAAGATTGCATAATGATATATTAAATATGGCTGAATTGTTTGCTGTGACTGGGTAGTTTGTAACCAAAAGACAAGATTAAATTAATTGGCAAGCCAGAGGCAACTCAAATTAATCTGACTGTGCTGCCTGAAAGAACAGATTCAGTTGCAACTTTCAAAGGGAGTTGGATAATTACTTTGAAAGGGGAAAATGTTTGCAGTTGTGGCAATAGCGTAGGAGAGGGAGACTAATTGAATCTGCTAAAAAGTCAGCGCAAAGCTAAGCAGCCTTGTTCTGCTATGTGTCATTGTCATTTTTGAAGATCATTCTTCTTGTTTTGCAAGAATACTCTTTTTGGAGTCAGCAGGCTCATTGTGAAGTTATATTGTACTCGTAGTTTGAAGGGATTAATCAGGCTTAAAGCTACTGGTGCAGTTTGACAGATGAACCTGAAAAAATGAACATTAAATTCAGAGAAGATTGTGTCCCAAAGTTGGGCCTAAATGTCTGATGTCATATTTTATGATCACTAGTTGCATCAAAAGTAAAAGAAATCCGAAAATGGAAGTGAGACATTCCACCCCTGTGGAGGATCACTGAAAATTCATTATCTTCTTTAGGGGAACCAAGTATAAAAGTGATTTGAGTACAACCATATCTGCAGTTAATTGTACAAATAAAGGTTGCAACAAGATTGCACTGGCATTGGAGGGGGTGCAGAGGAAGTTCGCTTGTTTGATTCTGGAGTCGAGGGGTTGGCTTATGACAAGTGATTGAGTCGACTGGGAATATACTCATTGGAATTTGGAAGAATGAAGTGGGAATTTTATAGAACATATACAATAAAGAAGGGAATAGGTAAGATAGAAGCAGGGAGGTTGTTTCCACTGGTGGGTGAAACTAGAACTAGTTGGTATAGCTTCAAAATAAGGGGGGGAGCAGATTAGGATTGAGTTGAGGAGGAACTTCTTCACCCAAAAGCATTGTGAATGTGTGAAATTCCCTTCCCAATGAAGCAGTTGAGGCTACTTCGTTGCATGTTTTTAAGGCAAAGATAGGTTTTTGAACAGTAAAGGAATTAAGGGTTATAGTGAGTGGCTTGGTAAGTGGAGCTGAGTCCATGAAAAGATCAGCCATGGTCTTATTGAATGGCGGAGCAGGCTGTAGGGGCCAGATGGCCTGCCTCTGTCCCTATTTCTTATGTTCTTATGTTTCTACAGGCTGGGGACATCCTTTGGATAATTGCTTGTGCACATGTAAAGAGACATGTATTGACATTGTAGGTTGTTAGATGAGAAATCTGCTAATGAATTCTGCATGAATGTCTCAAGCCAGCCTACTTTTACTGGTCAGTATATGCATTGGGGTTCCAGCAGCTCTACTCTACAATATTAACTTTATTGGTAGCCTTCGCAAGCAGGGCCCTAGACATGTGCTCACTGTGTAGTCTTGATGATGAGATACAGAATATCAAAATTACCTTGTGATCCTGGTTACCATAGTCAAATGTATGTTGCAAATTCATGAAAGGGCCTGTGCGCACTTTTGGCCCTGAAAGGTGCCCTGTCTAACTCGGATTACCTTGGAAGGGAAAGGTGTCTCAAATGTTTGAGCAATAGATGAAAATAGCTGTGTAGCACTATATCACAGTAGAGCCATGTCTGGTGTTGTTTACCAATATTATGTTGCAATCAAGCCAAAAGGTTGTTCTGAATATCGCACAAATCAGTCATGTGGAATCTGAATTGCGGTGGCGGTGTGCTGCAGATTTGTAGTGCGTATGTCCAAGCGACTGATAGATTGTATCAAAAAAAAGTTTCTTATACTGTTGTATAGTATCAGGATAGCTGTAAAATAAAAAAAATCCTGAACATAATTATTGACTGTAGGTAAACTATGTTCATGCATCCTTACTGTTGTAGTCTTTTTATGCATAGATCATGGCCTGTGATGTTATTGCTCAAATTTGTCATTAGAATAAATCTATCCTTCTAACCTGTTTGGGAATATTAAAACTGAATCATGAGCTTTAAGCTTCTGGTATTTTTAAATAAAGGAAAATCATTATTTCGTGACACTAAGATTTTAATTATTTTCACACAGTCCTTAAAAAAGGGAAGAAAGATAAGAAGGCCAAGAAATCGGTACGTAGATATCCATATATATCCTTTTAACTTTTTATTATATTGTCTTACAAACGTGCACTGGGTTTCTTGGAATTATTTCTCTGGACAGGCCAAGTCACCAGAACAATTAGTCCAGTCCTTCATGTGATCGTGCCATCTATTGTGTTATGTTGGCTTCCCCCACCAGCCCCATTTCAGGAATGGTTATTTGTAACCTTGTAACTTCTCCATATGTTGTCTGTCTGGAATGTAGATTTCTGTGTTGGCCCCTCTGTGTGTACATGCCCACAGATTTGTCTGTGCTGCAATGTTCCACTCTCTTGAACCTTTAGTTTTGAGACAGTTTCAGAGCAGAACAAGTAGGAAATGGCATGAGTTGGAGATTACCCCAGTATTTTATCTTCAAATTTAGTTGCTGTTCAGTTGTGAGGAAGCTCAGCAGTGTGTGTGGCTGGCTGTGAAAAACAAAATAGTACAAACAGTCACCAGGACACTTTCTAGTAGTAGTTATCACTATATAATGATCAAAAGCTGCAATTTGGATCTTTTTAACTCTTGCCAACACTGCTACACAGGCTATTATTACCAGTTCTGTTATCAAATTCATTCTGTGAACTTGGTTTGTAGGAATAAAACTGAGATTGTTTCACTTTTTGTTTTCCTCCGTTTGACTCTAATTCCTACCAATATTAACTCACTCCTGCAGTAGAATTTTCCATAATCAAAGTAAACTGTCTTTCAATGTACGTGTAGAATTTCTGTCAAATATTAAATGTATTGCTTATATGCTTAAAAATACGTGAACTACAACAAACTTGTAGTGGGAGAATTAATCTGACAGTTAGCTTTTCCTATAAGTGAAGCTCTTTTTCTAAATCACCGCTGTAAGGGGTGTTGCTGATGTCTGTGATGACTGGTGCAGATTCTGCTGTGCATTATGCTGTAAACGCCATTTTCTAATGATCCTGTGAAAATGTCTTTTTCAAAAATCCTCTGGGTTCTTACTTTATATCCTCTTTCATCCAAATTAGAATGCCTAATTACACTGCATTAGCCGTTGAATGGGACATATATCATGAATCAGTCCTTTTAATGGCTGAATAATATTCTGAGCATTGTCGTGAACTTGTAAATAAGACCAGAAGACGTAGAAGCAGAAATAGGCCATCCAGCCCATTGAAGTCTGCTCTATTCAATGAGATGATAGCTGAACTGATAACCCTTATTCTCCTGCCTTTTCGTGTAATCCTTGATTCCCTTACTGATTTAAAAATCTGTTTGACCCAGCTTTGAATGTAATTAATGATCCAGCCTCAATCGCCGTCTATGGTGAAGAATTCCACAGACTCACTTAATCTGAGAGAAGAAATTCTTCCTCATCTCTATTTTAAATGTGTGAACCCTTTATTCTGAGTTTGTGCCCTCTAGTCCTAGATCCTCTATAAGAGGAAACTATCTTTCTGCAACTACCTAGTCAAGATCCTTAAGAACAATATATGTTTCAATAAGGTCAACTGTTATTCTAAATTTCAATGAGTATGGGCCTCAACATCTCATAAATGAGTCCCTCCATACCACTATCAGCCTGGTGAACCTTCTCTGGACTGCCTCCAATGCAGTCTTTCCTGAGATTAGGGGCCCAAACCATTTATAGTTTTCCAGCTGTGGTCTGACTTGTATAGTTTTAGCAAGACCTCCCTATTTTTGTGTTCCATTCCTTTTGAAATGAAGGCCAACATTCCGTTTGCTTTCGTATTACCTGTTGAACATGGATGTTAGATTTTTGTAATTCATGGATAAGGACTCCCAAATCTGTTCTGTAGCTTTCTGAAGTCTTTCTCCAATTAAATAATATTCAGCTGTTTTATTCTTCCTGCCAAAATACATAGTCTTGCATTCCCCTATTTTGTTCCATCTATCAAGTTTTTTGCCCACTCATTGTCTATAGCGATCTGCAGACTGTTATCCTCAACACGTGTCCCTGCCTATTATTGTATCATCTGCAATCTTGGCCATAATACATTCATTTTCTTTGTCCACGTCGTTAATTTATATTGGAAGTAATTGTGGCACTCCACTAGCTTCAGGGTTGCTGTCCTAAAAATGACCTGCTTATCCCAAATTTGACTTGTACTATTAACCAGTTTTCTATCCATGCCAATATTTTGCCTCAAAAACAATGGACCCTTGTCTTAAGTAGCCTAATGCATGGTACCTTGCCAAATGCCTTCTGAAAACCCAAATGTATGACAATTACTGGTTCTGTTTTTATCTATTCTGCTTGTTAACTCCTCAAAGAATTGTCGTACATTTTTCAGTCAAAGTTTTCCCCTAGTGAAACCAGGCTGACTCTGCTTGATCATGTTATGTATTTATTTTCTGTATGCTGTGCAATAAACTTGGAACATCTTCCCAATAACATACAATAAGTGAGCTAGCTGATAGTTAGCTTTTTTTGTCTCCTTTCCCCCTTTTTAATGATAGGTGTTTCATGGGCAATTTTCCAGTCTTCTGGGACTTTTCCAAAATCTAAGGATTCTTGGAAGGTTGCTACCCGTGCTTCCACTATCTCTGTAGCTACTTGCTTCAATTTCCTAAAATGTATCCCACAGGACTTGGGGGATCTTTGGCCCTGTTGTTACCCTCAAACTTTTCTCTTGTGGTAGTTATTGTTTATTTCCTCTCCAACTTTTGCCCCCTTTATTTAGTAATTCTGTGTGTTCGTACTGCTTCGCTTGCAATCATGCCCTCCTGTCCGTGATCACAGACAAATTCTAAGCTGTCTGTTCTGAGGGATATCACTGTTCTCTGGAGCAAAGTGTCCAAGTAATGTGCATGATGTGGCATGATGTTTATAAGACATGCAGGAAGAAGAGCTGAATGGGAGCAGGTCCTGAAGTGGAGAATGTTAGTCCAAAATATGGACTGGACTAGCCATCAATCTAGATGCAGTCACTAATGCTGGGTGCTGGCTGAGAGGTCTTACTTGGGCCAACCATGTCAGGAAGCAGTATAAACAATCTTATAATTACACTGACTGATCCCTTGGTGTTTGATCACCTTTGAGCCTGTTTTGATGACTTAGGCCCATGATAGTATTTAAAAATTTATCACATTCTGTTTTTGTTTTTGTTTTTGTCATATTAAGAAACCATGACTTTTACACCTGGTTTTTTTACTTCTAAGCTTGTCAGCCATGAAAGACCTCAAACTATACAGAATAACAGCCTCTTAAGATGACATGATCTTCAGTCCAGTTTATTTATTATGTGAATATTTTCTTTCTCTCTCACTAGTTCTTTGAGGAGCTGGCAGCTGATGATAAGCAAGTTAAAGCAGAAGAAGCAATCATCATAGAACAGCAGGTAATAGCAATGTTGCCATGGTTTTGCAATCACATTTGTTAGAAGGAGTTACAGAAAAAGAATCCAATGTGGATTTCACATCAGTATCAGGGTGTCTGCGTACTGACTTTTATTCATTCTTTAGATGTTGTCTGTTGGCAAGGTCAGTATTTATTGTTAACCCCTAGGTGCCAATTAAAAGTGGTGGTGAGCTCTATTCTTCAAATCTTGCAGCCCATGTAGGGAAGGTACTCGCACATGCTGTTGAGGAGGGAGTTCCAGGGTTTTGAACCAGTGGTGAAAAATGAAAAGTGATATTTTCCAGTCAGAATTATGTCCAACCTAAAGGTAAATTAATAGGTGTTGATGTTCACATTTGCTTGTTACCATAGTTCTTCGAGGTGGTAATGACCATGAGTTGGAGAAATGATGCAGTACATCTTTTATGCAAGGTCGATGCACTGGCATCCACTTTCAGTCAGCAGTGCTGGGTGGATATCCATAATCTGCTTCTTCCTGAGGTTTTCTGCATTGCAGATACTAGTCTTCAACCAATTTGAATCACTTCATGTGATATCCAGAAATTGCTAAAGGGTACTCCAAAGGCCCTGACAATGTTCCTGTAATAATATTCAAGATTGCTTTGGAACTAGATATACCCCTAGCCAAATTTCCAGTACAACTATAACACTGGTATTAAATTGTCAATGTGGAAAATTGCTCAGTTGTGCTCTGTACACGGAGAGCAGAATAAATTCAATTTGGCCAATTGTCATCACGTCAGTTTAGATAATGAGAAAAACTGTCAGGACAGTGTTGGTAGGGTCATTGACAGTGCTGTTAAGTGACTCTTGGTCAGCAATAATCTATTCACTAACATTCAGTTTGGGTTTCACCATGTCCGTTCAGCTCCAGCCCTCAATACAGTATTCATCCAAACAGAACAGGGAAAAAAGGCTGAGCCCCAGAAATGGCTGACTTGATACCAAGATAGCATTTGACCAGGCATGGCGTCAAGAATCTCGAGCAAAACTGAAGACAGTGTGAATCAGGGTAAATCTGTTATTTGGGGTCTTACCCAGCACCAGATAATCCATCGGTGGAGGGTGGTGGTCCTTGGGATCGATTCCCATTGACTTCAGTTTTTCTAGCGTTGGCTCTTGCCACACATGGTCAAATGTTGTGTTAGTGTTGAGGCAGTCACCCTCAGCTTATCTGAAATTGAGTTATTTTGTCCGTATTTGGAGTCAGGCTACAGTGAGATTTGCAGCTGACTGGGTCCCAGTAGAATTTACTGTTTGTATGTGTATGTGACCCATATAATGACCAACTGTTACCAATAAAATCTATCAACTCCTCATGCACACAGATGTAGAATCAGCACTTCAGAAGTAATTCACTAAGTAAAATGTTTTAGGGCACTTCAATGATGCAATGAAGTGCTCTTATAAATTGTCTACTAATTGTGTTGCCTAGTGAATAGGATGTGAAATGGGACTCGATGTCAGACACTATATATCACTACAAAGCAGTTTATTTTAAGAAAACACACCTACCAAGTGCAATAAATGACATTTGTGCCCAATCAATAAACACTGCTAATAATAATAACATTACCTCATCAACAAAGTTTTGTGATTGAAAGATAGTTATTTACAGTACTGCAGTCTCAAGACATGACTGACAGGTGAAGTCATTGATCATTTGTATTCTCGCTGGAAATACTGGAGTCACTAAATGCTATCTTTTATAAATGCAAATATTTTTTCTGTGTGGCATAATATGCTGTAATGGTTTCTGCCCATTTGTTTTGTCTTGGTGCTTGTTTAATAGCAACAGAAGAAAAAACGTGATAAGAAAAAAGAACGGAACAAAAAGAAGAAGGATGAGGATGTTGACAATGTGATTGAGAATCTGAGTAAGCTGTCAGTGCCAGCTAGTGATGAGGAGGAAGAGGAAGGTGAGCTGTGCTGGGAGCAGGGGTTTGGCACAAATGATTACAGCTTCAGAAGCTTGACTGTTAGCTGGGAGTACTGAAATTTATGGTTGTTAAACCTACAGAGGTGGAAGGTGGACTAATTGACTTGAGGAACTTCAGCAAAACTGGCATTAAATTAAACACTCAGTGTTGTCATTTAAAGAAAAATGGAGTGTGATTTTCGTTTTGTATGTTTACTTCTGTGTAAAACATTGTGTGGTATAATTATGATTTTAGCTTTCAAAATTGAAATTTGCATGGAGGACTTTGAGGTGTGTAAAGTCAATTTCAAGTCATGAATAAAGAATGGTGTCAAGTTTATTATTTACTGTAAAATTAGAGACCAGAATTTTCACTTTCCTTTTAAGGTACCTGTTTATATAATATTTATTCTACTCTACTTTCAAATGTCAGTATGAACTCAATTGTAGGTCTCACCTCTGAATCAGAATATTGTTGATTTGTGTTGAGTTCTTCTCATGAGGTTTTAACTAAAAGCTCCTTTGTCCTTTTAAGGTTGTATGAAGAATCTTTTGGCACTGTTTGAGAGGAGAGCAGGCAGTTTTCCTCTTGAGCCCAACCTGCCAAAAGAAAATTAAATGTGCTGTAAAAACTAATAGGTTCTCAGTTTGCCTTTTTTAAAGAGGGAAAAAAAGGGAAGGTGGAAGTGCCTTTGAGATAACTATAGGGAGAATGATCAGAATTATTCCAGACATAAGAGATTTTCTGCAACATTGAAGGTTAGGGGAGATTTTGGAGGTACACAAAATTATAGTTTATAAAGCTGTTATACCTGACAAGGTAGGCAAAAAAAAGGACTAGGTATTTACCGATTCAATGGGGGAGCGTGGTGAGTTATGCAGTAAGTGATAATGACCGAGAGCCTACTATATGCAATTGTGACGGAAGTGGAGATGGTAGACAAATTCAAAAGACGCTGACAAACACTTGTGGGAAATAAACTTGCAGGGACAGTGGTTTAATCATTCCAGTAGTAACGTTCTGTGCCTTAAGGATTCTCTGACTCTAAGAATGACGTTCTTTTGTTTTAGGTTGTAACAAAAATTAATTCCCTGAAATTATAAACAATATACCAGAAGAGTCTTGTGAAGGTTGGGGTTCAACATAATGGAGCGTGAGTTAAGATGACATTCTGGATTTGTGTGGGGAGGAGTAGCTGGAGGAAAAATGTTACAGGACTGGAATGTGACCCAAAACTAGATTTGTGCCTCTGCTACATTTGGGAGCCACCAGGTTACTGCTTACTGTCTTTCCCAGACTCTGGTCTCAAAAAATAAAGCTGCTTCAATCTGATAGATTAATCAAGCCTTGGTTTTTTTTGTAGTGCCCACAGACTAACTTCTATGAAATTAAACATGAAACTGGCGGTAAAATTCCCTTGTGGGCAAGAAAATCCACCCTGACTCAAATGTGTTTTTCCCTTCTCCAGAAATAAAGCCAGGACGAGGTAATAAGAAGACGGGAAACAAAAAGATGGTAAGTGATGCATGACTTGCTGCTTGTTTTTCCTTCAAAGTGCCACTTCTAGTTTCAACTTAAAGGAAAAGTCGAGGAGATTGGAGAGGAATCTTCGTTCAGTGTAACGTCTGAGCATTCCTTTTGAAATTTAGAGTATCTTTGAGTCTAGTTGCTTGTTTGAGTTGAAAGATATACTTTTTTTTTTCTCAGAGTAGCAACCTCGGAGCACCAAAAAGTGAAACTTGGTTACAATATCTTATTATCTTGATACTATCCTTCACCAATGTCAGTTAATGATGAATAGATTTAGCAGAGCTTATAAGCTTTCAGTTCCAAGGTAGAAGAAATCAGGGTGACAGTACTTGAATCTTTCAATACTTCTAACTTACAAATGTGACAGACTTTTTAAGTTGTTCATGGGATGCAGGTTTTGCTGACAAAGCCAGTCCTCAATTGCCTTTGAGTAGGAGGGGTGAACTGACTTAAACTTCTCTAAGCAACATGGTTTTTGATCATACAACAGTGAAAGAATGGCCAATGTGTTCTCCAAGTTAGTCTGGTAAGTGGCTTGGTAAAGAACGTGGAGGTGTTCCCATGGGTTTGCGACCCTTCACGTGAGGTGATTGCCCTCAACAACGTTCATTGAGTTGGATGTGTTTCCAACCCATAGTGTTTTTGCTGATTCCTGTTTAGTCCAACATTATTCATACTCCTTGATATCATGTCCTATCAAGTGCTGCCTTGATGTCAAGGATTGTCCTTTTAATCTCAGCTCATGTCTGCTGAGTGCAGGATAAGGTTAGGTTTTGTGCACAGCCAGAACTTGCCTGCTAATGTAACACTTCATACCTTATCTGCCAGTAATATTTTCTGTCAGAATGAAACTTACCAATTTATCTCTTGGAATTCTCCACCGTTTGCCTTCAAGTTGGGTTGCACTTGTTTACATGTGTTCTCAAGTCTGTATGATACAGTTCAAGTATTGATTTCTTTTTTTCATGGTTCCATTTTTGCCAATTGTGTTTAATTTGAGTGATGTTCATCTGTTTGTGATGTTTCAATTTATTCACAAGCCTTTCCCCTAACTTTAAGTACTTGCCCTCTCTCCCTTTGTTCAACTATGCTCATATATGAACCCAGAAACAAAGGAGGTATTGTGGATCGGCACATGTCACTCTAACATGTCTGAAAACTGTGGGCAGTTCCAGAACAGGTGTCCAATCGGAGGCATCCTGGAGATCAGGAATTTTCAGTTCCATGCTGGAAAACTTGCATGAGATGCTTCATGAATTATTTTGTAACCCAATTGTCAAAACTAAGCTCCTGAGATTATTTAATTTGATTAACTTGAAACAAATGTTTCCTTTTCAATTTAGTGTTGGTTAATTTTTCTACCTGGCTTTATCAGTTGATATTTGAGTTTTTGTTGTTGTGTTATTGAAAAATGACGGTTTCACAGGGGATTGACTCCTCGTTATTTGGAAATAAATGATTTGTAATTGATAACTGAGATTCAGTGCATTCAACATGTTCAATTTAAAATATCCACGCTTTTTATCATTCTGGACTTTCTGTATTTTAACGTTAATTTTTTCATTTTTGTTTATTTAAGGGCGGGAATGTCTTTGCAGCTCTAAGTCTGGAGCAGAGTGAAGGTGAAGATGACGATGAAGATGATGAAACAGAGACGCAGCCACCCAAAATGAACAAAAATCAGAAAAATAAGGTTAGTGTCAATTTTGGGGAGAGGAGTCTGAATATGATGAATTTTGTATTTGTCTGTTGACACCTGATATCCTGGCCTGTTCACCAAAGGTTCATCTCATGTGCATCAGCCTCACGTACTTAACGCAATAATGGTTCTTTCAGTTGTCATGTTTTTTTTTTGCAAAGTTAGAATTTCCATTCAAGGCCATTGCTCTGTGATCTTGCCAGCATTGTAAATCAATAGCTTTACTCAGCACTTGATTGTGAAGATCTATGATCTCTACCACCAGATGGTGCTAACTATCTACAGTTTTGCTATCAGAAACCAGGCTTCTGGCAGTACTGGGACAAATACTGGTACAAGCATTTTGCTGCGTTCTGCATTTCGTGCCAATAGTCTGAGCTCTGGAAATCATTGGGTCAAGGCAGGTGTCTTCAAAAGATGAGCCCATTTGTATCAACATAGTGAAATAGCATGTAGAACTGAAGAACATGTCATTTGGCTCAACTAGTCTATGCAGTATTCACACCAGTCTCATCTGCCTCATTTGGCCTTTTGGTGTAAATCTTCGATATTTGACTAGCTTGCTTCTGAAAGCATCTGAGCTATTTTCCCCAAGCAGTTCCTGTGTTTGTGAGTTTCACCTTTCCAAACACACTCCAGGTTAAGAAAGATCTCCTTGGCTTCCTCTTGGTTTATTTTTAATTTGTAACTGAAACCATGCTTTGCCATGAACTTCAACATGAGGTTAAAGAGTTCAATGCTCAAGCAGCTGATGGTGTGCAGACAATATTGACTTTTGAAACTTTCCTTTTCATCACCCCTGCCATCACCTCTGGACTGCCCATCTGATTCCTTGAGTGGGATTTTCTGAAGTGGCATCTTACCAGCTTAGGATAGTAAACATTAAGACTGTTAGAAACCCCTTGCAGATGTCTTTAAAGTTGAGCATACACTGTCCAGCAGGCTTGCATTATCTGCAACTTCACCTTCCATCTATTGCTATCCATTAGCCATGATAATCGAGTTTCACAAATTATCAGTCTTAGCATCTTTACCTTCTCGCTTTGTCTTTTGTGCATTCTAAATAACACTGGTTTAAAAATAATTTAACTGTGTCTCACACGAAAACAAAACAGTTTAGGTGCAGAGAATCTGAAATAAAAACAAGAAAATGCTCAAAACATTCAGCAGATCTGGCGACGTCTGTAGAGAGAGAAAGAATTGACGTTTCAGCTTTGCAATTTTTCATTAGAATATGGAATGTTACATGTGGAGTATTTGAAAGAGGAAAGGCAGGAAGAACAACAATGGGCAAGGCCTGGGATAGGATTTCAAATGTATTAATTTGAAAAGCAGTGGAGCTCTCCTGAAGAGTGTTGGCCATTTTTGTCCATCCTTCATTCATTCTTTCTTTCTTAACAAAATAAATTATAGTTACGATACAGGCCTTTTGAAATTGGCAGGTGCAACGTTGAAAGGCAGTCCACTGCAAAAACGTTCTCAATATTCTTCCTATTTTTATTTAATATGGAATGTTTATTGGATTTTTCACTTGGATACTGCTTTATGCAAACTTTTCTGTTTTTGTTTTTTCTGCACTTGCTTCTTTCCTTTTCGGTCTTTCGCATTTACAGACTGCATTGAATGAGAATCTTGGTAACCAGAAACAAAGCAAAATGAAAAAGAAAGACCGTTCTGAGGGGAAACAGCAGGTAACATGTCACTGCACAAAAGGCATGTTTTTTGGCACATTGGGGTCCCTGGACTCTTAGTTTTTAACTTCTTCCCACCATCACAACCTGTTATGGAAATTACTTGGACACAGTTTCGGTGACTAGATGTTGGGTCTGCAATCCAGGGGAGCTGGAGCACTTTTCAAAGGACATGTTTTATCAAGAAAGTCATTCCCTATATGTTCTTAGTCCATTTTAAAGGGTAAATCTTGTTTCATGGACTGAGGTCCTCAATGTTGGGCTTCTCTGGTGTTTGTCTGTAACTGAAAGTGGTGGTGAGTGATAGCTCCTCTGCCTTGTGCAATCTAAATAAAACGAAAGTACGGAGCTGGGTATATGAATTCCCTCCATTGAAGGTTTAGTTCTCAGTTTTGATTACTGCTTTCACCAGAGCGGTCCAGCAGGTTTGTACGAGAATCTCAGTACTGCTGATAAACTTTGTTTTTATACCAATAACAGTTTGTTCTATTGGTGTGTTCTTCTTTCCCTTTTCTTAAGGAGCAGTGATGTTCTTACTCATGATTTACATTGTTACTAAGTACTTGAAGCAGCTTTGGTTTTGACATGTTGAACAACTAAAGTAAGAAAACGAGTGTTGTGTCATATCGTTAAGCCCTCAAGATATTTTTACATGGTTTTGCATACCTTTTATTATAAAGAAAAATCAATTTAGCACGTTAAATGTTACCATGCACTTTATTTAATAGCCATATGGTTTGAATCCATAATGTATTTTAAAAATCAAATATAAAATTGTTATGAATTTAACAAGGATGTGCAAATCGTGAGTTTCATTGGTATGTTTGGGTTAATGGTAATTGTGTTGTCTTTGTGCTCCTTAGCCTATACCTGAGGAAGGTAACAAGAAGCAAGGTAAAAAAGGCAAAAAGGACGAAAGAGGAAAAGCAAGTGAGCAAAAGGTACAGTTCTCTTAATTATCTTGTGGCATGCCTGACTTAGAAATATGGCCACTAGCAGTTATTTTAGTATTCACAAATGACAAGTTACTATTAACTTTCCTCTACTGACAGTTATATCTAAATAGATTGTGAAGATGGTGATGAACGGAGCATGATGTCTATTGTGTAACTGAATGATAAGATATAAAACATTCAAGGCATCACTTCTTCATCATTGCCAGTCTCGATTGTGAATTTTGTGCACCCATCTTGGGAGAGGGGAAGGGCACAGGGAATGTGCTATTTTTGTCAGATACTTTAAAATTTTGAGTGGTCCACTGTAAATCATCCCTCTTCTTGAGGTATTAACTTTACTCCTCAGTGCAATATTTATAAGCCCTTCATCACATTTAAAAATTTTTCATAATGTTTGGGCATGAATTATGTTAGTGGTATGCTATAAAACCATGTTGCACGGGTTTTTCGAAGTGAAGGCTATCACTTACCTAAAAGATTTAGTTGTAAATGGACTGGATTTTGTCTATTAAATATAGATAACCAGTTTTTAAAATGCTACTGTTTCTGTTTCGTTGAAGTCTCTGGCCAAATTGTCTCATCTCAGGCTTCGATGTCATTGTGATTAATGGGAACTATTTTCCTTGAGTATTGTTTCATAGGTACTTGCTGACATTTGTAAGAAGGGAGAAGAAATAACCAGCTTTATTTGTGAGAAATAAAAGGATATTGTATATCTAGGAATCTAGTGTTAGAAATACTCATCAGGTCTGGTAGCTTTTGTGGTGAGAGAAACAAAGTTAATATTTTGAGCTGATCATCTTTCATCAGAACTGGAAACGTTGGTTCTGAAACAGGTCTGCATTATTTTCCCTTCCTGACAAAAGATTACTGACCTGAAGCTTTGACTGTATTTCTTTCTCCACACATGCCGATTGACCAGCTGAGTATATCCAATATTTTCTATTTGTTTTTCAAATTTTCAGCATCCACAGTAGTTTGCTTTTGCCACAATTCTTAAAAGGGCTGGGTATAAGTATAAAATTCCCATGGGGAACATAAAGGGATTTAATAAGAATAGCGGTAGTGATGTAGTTGAGAAGGAAACTGTAATTATTTGAATTTGATTACACTACTGCTAAGTATTTTTGTTTGCTGTCTGTAAAAGAAAATATCTTCTGATTTGCTTTCGCAAAAAATTGCCAATGTGTGGAAAATTCACTAACCAGTTTTGACCACTTAGTTTCCATGATTAACCCCTGTTTTATGCTATTGTATGAATATAAGTTCATCAGAACAGGCACCCTCCTTACTGTTCATTTCCAGAAGTGACCATAGTCACTGTACCCGGGACACTATTGAAGGTGCAACTGCGACTAACTATGTGCTCTTTGTGCCTCATTCACCCATTTTCTGAGGAGCTACTTAATAGTTGGTAGTCTTCTGTAGCTGATTACCACTGCAGAACCTAAAGAAGGTAGCTTAAGTCTGGCAGACATTTCTTTAGAAAGTTGTCTGCTACCATTGAAGGGTTCCAAAGGATTTTCTATCCTAATATTCAAAGGTTTGTGCCAGTTATCTATGAAGAAATAATAGTTTCTTTATTTATTTACGAACAATTTTCAGTTGGTTCGTAGTTAATGGTGTTCAGATGCTTGGCTTTAGGGCAATTAGCAGTATGAGTTAGGAGCGGGTATAGGCCTTTTGGCACCATGAGTCTGCTCTGACATTCAACAAGACTGCGGCTGGTATGATTGTAATCTTAACCCCATGATCCCATCTACCGTGATAACCTTGCAAGCAAACATTCCAACCTTTTTTTTAGAAAAAAAGACTCTGGGAAGTTGTGGAATTGGTTAGTCTCCTGACTTAACTTATTTTTCTAGAACTTAACTGGAAGTGAATAACTCAAATTTTCTCTTCAGTATGTGGATGTACCCAGAGAGGTAGCAAAACCTGACCTCCTTTTGGGAAGTAAGGCAGTGCAAGTGACCGAGGTGTCTGGTGTAGCACTTTGGGGCAAGTGATCATAATTGTTAGTTTTAAAATAGTTACAGAAAAGGATAGACTCAATGTAAAAGTCAAAGGTCTAAATTGGAGTAAGGCCAATTTTGACAGTATTAGGCAGGAACTTTTAAAAAGTTGGTTGGGGGAAACTGTTTGCAATTAAAGGGACTGTTGGAAAATGAGAGGAGGCCTTCAAAAATGAGATAATGAGTTCAGAAACAGTGTGTTCCTGTTAGTGTGAAGAGCAAGACTGGTGGGTGTAGGGAATGCTGAATGACAAGAAAAGTTGATGTACTGCTCAAGAAAAAAGGAGGAGGCATATGTCAGGTATAGATAGCTGGGATCGAATGAACCCCTAGAGGAGTATATTCAAGAGGGAAATCAGGTGGGCAAAAGGGGGACATGAAATAGCTTTGGCAGATAGGGTTGAGGAGAATCCAAAGAGATTCGACAAATACATTTGGGACGAATGAGTAACTCTGGAGAGAATAGGGCCCCTTTATAGATCAATGATGCCGTCTTTGTAGGATTACAGGAAATAGGTAAGATACTAAATGAATATTTCATGTTAGTGTTTACTTTGGAGAAGGACATGAAAGCTGGGGAACTTGGGGAAAATAAGTTTTGGGGTCTTGAAAAGTGCCCATATTACAGAAGAGGAAGTGCAGGAGGCCTTAAAACCTATAAAGGTAGATAAATCTCCAGGACCTGATCAAGTGTATCTCAGAACTTCGTGGGAAGCTACGTAAGAGATTTCTGGGCCCCTTGTTGAGATGTTTGTATCATCAACAGCCACAGCTGAGGTGCTGGAAGTCTGGAAGGTGGCTAATGTGGTGCCATTATTTAAGAAAAGTGGTAAGGAAAAGCCAGAGAGCTATAGACTGGTGAGCCTGACATCATGGTGCATAAGTTGATGGAGGGGATTTACTTGCATTTGGAAGGACAAGGACTGATTAGGGATAGTCAACATGGTTTTGTGCGTGGGAAGTTGTGTCTGTCTAACTTTGAGTTTTTGGAGAGGTCTCAAAAGCTTAATGAAAGCAGAGCGGCAGAGGTCGTCAAACGGACTTCAGCAAAGCTTTCAAGAAGGTTCTGCATGGTAGACTGGCTAGCAAGGTTAGTTCACATGTAATCCAGAGGAGCTAACCAATTGGGTACAAATTGGCTGGAAGGTAGGAGGCCTATGACTAGTGGTGTGCTGCAAGTGCTGGGTTCACTGCTTTTCATCATCAATATAAATGATTTGGATGTGAATATAGGAGTTATGGTTAGTAAGGTTAAAGATGACACCAAAATTGGTAGAGTGGACAGTGAAGAAAATTATCTCTGAGTACAAGGGGAGCTTGATCAGATGGGCCAATGGGCTGAGGAGTGGCAGATGGAGTAAAATTTAGAAAAATGTGAAGTGCATTTGGAAAGGCAAACCATGGCAGGACTTATACAGTTAATGTAGTGTTCTGGGGAGTGTTGCCAAACTAAGAGACCTCAGTGCAGGTGCATAGTTCCTTGAAAATGGAGTCACAGGTCACCTGTGGTAAAGGAGGCATTTAGCACGCTTGCCTTCATTGGTCAGAGCATTGAGTATAGAGTTGGGACTTCTTGTTGTGGCTGTACAGGCCATAGGTGGGATTGGAGAGTTTGAGCTATAGGGAGAGGCTGATTATGACAAGAAAATCTATCAATCAAAAGGCTGGAAGGGGTGACCTTTATAGGTTTATAAAATCATCATCAGGGGCATGGATAGGATGAATAGCCAAGGGTATTTTACCAGGGTAGTGGATTCCAAAACTAGAGGGCAAAGGTTCAAGGTGAGAGGGAAAAGATTTCAAAGGAGCCTGAGGGGCAGCTTTTTCATTGAGGCTCATGTATGTATGGAATGAACTGCTAGAGGAAGTGGTGGAGACTGGTACAATTGTAGTATTTAAAAGGCATCTGGATGGGGGCATGAATGGGAGTGGTTTAGAGAGGCATGGGCCAAATACTGGCAAATTGGACTAGGTTAATTTAGGATGTCTCATCGGCAAGGACAAGTTGGACCAAAGGTTCTTTTTCTGTGCATGATAACTCTGACTCTACAATCAACTATGCTTAGGTCAAATCTATGTAAAGAAAATGCAAGTTAATCAGAAATTAAGTTGGATCTCAACGCTTTCTGCCACAGGTAGAATCTGAAGATGAAGGAGAAGAAAAGTCAAGCACGAAAAGTAAAAAAGTGGAGAAATCAAAAGCAAAGCAAAAGGTAGACAGATAGGGCTTGTGTAAACGTAATGTTCATCTTTCAGGTAACCGTATATTTAATAAGTCTTAATTTTTATAACAACGATAATAGTAATTCAGTTCCAGAATCCTGTTCCACCATTAAGTTATATATGGCTACTCTCCTTCTTAGTATCTTCTAAAAAGCATGCTCCATATCCTTTAAGAGCCATGCCAAAACACAAATCAATCTGTTGTCACTGCTTAACTGGAAAGGCTGCACTGTGCCCAAGCTGTCGCAAATTGTCTGAAAGTGTAAAATCTTTTGGGGCCATAAAAATAACTAAATTGCTTGACTGACTGCTACTCAAGACAAAAACAATTCATGCCAGAGTCAGTAACACTAAAAGTTACTCTATTTATTTATTTATTGTGACACATTTAACTTTAGCAAGAAAAGAAAGGATTTCTTTACTACTATGCAACTTAAAACTTTAAAAACAATCCTCTCTAAGACGCCCAAATGCATACATGCCAATTATGATTAAGAGTCAAATGGTTTAACACATTCTTTTTCCATATAGTATATAGATATAGAGTAAATAAAATTCCAACCATCATAAGTCCAGACCACAAGGTAGAATGCAGTCCAACTTTTAGGTCCATTTGTAGTCCCAGAAAAGAAAATATGTGGTTTCTTGCACAGTCTTAAACTCAAATGTCCATATTGATTTTGGGAAGAAAGTTCCAGATTTGGGTGAGAAAGTGCCTCCTGATTTGACTTCTACACGAGTCAACTCTTGTTTTAGGATTGTGTCTCAGTGCTTTAAATTCCCTGACAAATTGAAACCCTTTAAGTATCCTATTGAATTCCCTTGCACTATTGAAGAATATTGGTTAGAACACCAATCGTAAATAGAAACCGTGTTTATGCAATCTGTCCATATTATTTAATTTTATATGCCCAGCCATTTGGCAGTTTGTGGGTCTCCCTCTTCGAAGGCAAACATATTTTTAACTGGGATTGTCTCTACGTATGGAATTCATTTATCACTGATTTTTCTGGTATTTGTTTTGTTTGTTGATTCCGTTTCCTTTATTATCGTTTTGATCAAATTGGCAAGAATATTATTGAATAAAAAAATACTGTGATTGTACTGAACCTTTACTTCATACATGCAAGTATGAAAGCTGGGCTTGAACTCAATTGCGTTCGGAGAATGTGTAGCGGTACAAATTATTAAGGATTTCGGTGATTGAAATTTGTGCACCTTTTGCTAAGAATTGAACTTGATATTCTGTTCAAAAACTGCAAACTTTTTAAAAAATTCTTTAATGGGGCATGAACGTTGTTGGTAAGACCAGCATTTGTTATCCAATTGGGAGTTCCTTTGAGCTAAGCCACTTCAAAGGGCAGTTAAAGGTCAACCACGCTGTTGTGGGTCTGAAGTTGCATGGATGGTAGAACAGGTTGTGGAGGCAGATTTCCTTCTCTAATGAGCATTAGTGAACCAGAGGGGTTCTTAGAAAATAAATGCTGTTTCATTGTTACCATTTGAGACTTAGCTTTCGATTATACGTGACTTATATTAATCAAACTTAAATTTCATCCACTGTAGTGGGTTTAAACCCATACCCCCAGACCATCAGTCTGTGCCTCTGGGTTACGAGTTTAGTGACATTGCCACTAGGCCACTATCTTGCTCTTTGGATTAAATTTTTAAAAAAATCCTTCAGTACGGTTTCAACATTGGTGAGCTGTCTTCTTGAAATGCTGTGATGTAAGCACACATACATATGCTATTAGGAAGGAATTCCAGAATTTTGACACAGCGACAGTGAAGTAAGTGATATCATTCTCAGGATGCATAGAGGGGATCTTGCAGGTGGTGATGCTCCATTTATCTGCTATAATTTTCCTCCTAGGCAGTAGTGGTCACAGGGTTTGGAAGGTGCTGTTTAAAGACATTTGTTGAGTTAATGTAGTGTATCTTGTAGATGATGTGTATTGCTGTACTTATGTGTCATTATTGGCGAAAGTGAATGTTCCAACGTGTGATGCCAATAAGATGAATTAATTTGTCTTTTGTAGCCTTTTTTACCACCTTCTGATTTTTTTCCGTCCTGTTTAGTGTACTGTCAATGACACTCGATTGTACCTTGTATGAACTAATCCCAACCAATGGCAGCAAATCATATCGCGTTAAAGGGAACAGAAGTTTTTGGTTGTTAAAGGTAATTTCACAGTGTAGAGTGTCTGTGGGCAAAGTGATACATGGTGGTTTTACGGCATGAGTTTGTTAATTAATTAGGCTTCAAATTTTTGTACCAACCAGTGTGTAGCTTTGTTATTATGGGATAGTTTCTGCAAGCCCATTCCTTCAAAGTTTCTTGAGGTACCTAGGGTTACTGAAACAAGGCATGAGCAGAAAGTTAATGCAAATGTGCAGGAGAGAGATATCAGAAAGTACTAGACACACGATGCTCTCCTAAACACTGAACAAATAAAAGGTGAGCCTAAAAGCAACTTTATAGGTCATATTGCATTCAAAAGGAACTAACTAGACTTTCTCATTTAATTTGCATCAAAGGCATTCTCTGACAATGATGAGATAGAGGAGGAGCAGGATAAGCGGCCCACTAAAGGAAAAAATGCAAAAGCTAAAGGAAAGCACAAGGTAAAAAAATTTTGCAACTACTGTGGCTAGAGTCAGTCGAGATCATTTAAGTAGGTGGGTATTGATCAGTTATATAAATGGCCAGTCTTTGCTTTAGGATGATAGCAAATGGCCACCACTCCATTCCCAGTGCTGTGTCCTCCTCTTGATTAACTACATTGGAAGCAAAGATAAATCCCAAGACTTGTTATGTCTGCTATGATGCTTTTTTCATTTATGTATGTATTAATATTAATACTTGAGGTGCACGTATTTCTGGCGTTTATCTCACAGGCACAGTTTTCTTCTTTTTTTTTCTTAATTCATTCAGAGAATGTGGACTTTGCTATCTGGACAATTTATTACCCTACACAAACAGAAGTTACTGGAAAAGCTCAGCCGGTCTGGCAGCATCTGTGAAGAAAAGATCAGAGTTAAAGTTTCTGGTCCGGTGACCCTTCCTCGGACCTTCCTCTGGTCACTGGACCTGAAACGTTTACTCTGATCTTTTCTTAACAGATGTTGCCAGACCTGTTGAGCTTTCTAGAAATTTCTGTTTTTGTTCCTGATTTACAGCATCCACAGTTCTTTCAGTTTTTAATTTATTACCCTAGTTACCTTTGGGGTGATGAGCTGCTGTATTGAACTACTGTGTACCATTTTGTCTAAGTACTTGGACCGTGCTGTTAAAGAGGCAGTTTCCGTGACACTGAAGGAACAATGATGAAGCTCCAAGTCAGGACTTCGAGTGCATGACTTAGAAAGGAATGTGCAGGCGGTGATATTTCCATGTATCTCCATAAATTGATTTTGCCCTTTCCCATGCCTGAGTTGTGGCTACAGGTAGCATTGTAACTGTAAGGCTAAATATAATGTAAAAGCAGCATTTCTCCTTAAATCATACCGAAATCTGCATGGCACAATCATCAAAACCTTGGTGTGGAATTAGGACTTGTAACTTAAGTCTGAGCACTTGAAGCTGATGCTAAAGGTAGAGGAGTTTTCAGTGCTCCGCATTAAATTGCTCATCCAGGCAAGCACATAGAACTGTGACTAAATTTCATTTTCCTTACGGACAACGTCGCAAACACCACCATCACCATCCCTGGATATGTCCTGTCTCACTGGCAGGACAGACCCAGCAGAGGTGGCAGCAAAGTGATATATAGTCAGGAGGGAGTAACTCTGGGAGTCCTCAACATTGACTCCAGACCCCATGAAATCTCATGGTTTCACGTTAAACGTGGGCAGGGAAAACCTCTGCTGATTACCACGTATTGCCCTCCCTCAGCTGATGAATCAGTACTCCACATTGAACAATACTTAGAAGAAGCACTGAGGATGGCAAGGGCACAAAATGTACTCTGGGTGGGAGATTTCAATGTTCACCACCAAGAGTGGCGCAGCATACTACTGATCGAGCTGGTCTGGTCCGAAAGACATAGTTGCTGGACTGGGCCTGCAGCAGGTGGTGAGGGAACCACCAAGTGGGAAAAACATACTTGACCTCCTCCTTACCAATCTGCCAGCTGCAGGTGCATCTGTCTATGACAGTATCAATAAGAGTAACCACCATAAAGTCCTCGTGGAGATGAAGTCCCGCCTCCACATTGAGAATAACCTTCAGCGTGTTGTGTGGCACTATCGCCGTGCTGAATGGGACAGACTTTGAACAAATCTAGCACTCTCCATGAGGCACTTAGGGCCAACAACAGCAGCTGAATTATACTCCAGCCCAATCTGTAACTTCATGGCCTGGCATATCCCCGGCTCAACCATTACCATCAAGCCAGGGATTCAACTCTGGTTCAATGGAGAGTGCAGGTGGGCATGCTGAAAGCTGTACCTGAAGATGAGGTGTCAACCTGGTGAAGCCATCCAACAGGACTACTTGCATGCCAAACAACAAAAACAGCAAGTGATAGACAGAGCTAAATGATCCCACAGCCAACGATCAGATAAGCTCTGCAGGCCTGCCACATCAGTCGTGAATGGTGATGAACAACTAAACAACTCACTGGAGGAAGCGGCTCCACAAATATTCCCCTCCGTGATGGAAGAGCCCGGTACATCAGTGCAAAAGGTAAGGCTGAAGCTTTCACAGCAATCTTTAGCCAGAAGTGCCGAGTGGATGATCCGTCTTGGCCTCCTCAGTGGTCCCCAGCAATTCAGATACCAGACTTCAGTCAATTCATTTGACTCCACGTGATATCAACAAACAGTTGGAGGCACTGGATACTGCAAAGGCTACGGGCCCGAACAACATTCTGCCAATAGTACTGAAGACTTGTGCTTCAGAACTTGCAGCTGCAACAGCCAAGCTGTTCCAGTACAGTTACAACACTGGTATCTACCCGACAATGTGGAAAATTGCCCGAGTGTGTCCTGAACACAAAAAGCAGGACAAATCCAACCTGGCCAATTATCACCCCGCCAGTCCATTCTCGATCATCAGTAAAGTGATGGAAGGTGGCATCAACTGTACTATGAAGCAGCACCAGATCGGCAATACTTGCTCAGTGATGACCGGTTTGGGTTCCAGGGTCACTCAGTCCCTGACCTCCTTTCAGCCTTGGTACAAACATGGACAAAGGAGCTGAATTCAGGAGGAGAGGTGAAATTGACAGCCCTCGACATCAATGCTGCATTCGATGAAGTGTGGCATCACGGAGCCTAGCAAAACTGGAATCATCGGGTATCGGGGGAAAAAAACCTCTGGTTAGAGTGCTACCTTGCACAGGGCAAGATGGTGGTGGTTGTTCAAGGTCTGTCGTCTCAGGTCCAGGACATCTCTGCAGGAGTTCCTCAGGGTAGTGTTCTCTGTCCAACCATCTTCAGCTGCTTCATTTAATAACCTTCCCTCCATCATAAGGTCAGAAGTGGCGATGTTCACCAATGTTAGCACAATGTTCAGCACCATTCACGACGACTCAGATACTGAGCAGTCTGTGTCCAAATGCAGCAAAATCTGGACAATATCCAGGTTTGGGCTGACAAGTGGCAAGTGTCATTCGTGCCGCACTAATGGCAGGCTATGACCATGACCAGCAAGAGACTATGTAACTACCTCTTGACATTCAATGGTCTTGCCATCACTGAATCCTCCACTATCAACATCCTGGGTGTTGTCATTGACCAGAAGCTCAACTGGACTCGCCACATAAATGCAGTGACTACAAGAGCAGGTCAGGGACTAGGAATACTGTGGTGAGTCACTCACCTGACTCCCAAAGCTTGTCCACCATCTCCAAGGCACAAGTCAGGAGTGTAATGGAATACTCCCCACTTGCCTGGATGAGTGCAGCCCCAACAACACTCAAGGTTGATGCCATCTAGGAGAAAGCAGCCTATTTGATTGGCACTGTATCCACAAGCATCCATTCCCTCCACCAATGTTCAGTAGCAGCACTGTGTGCTATCTACAAAATGCATTGCAAAAGTTCACCAAACATCCTCAGACAACACCTCCCAAACCCATGACCACTTCCATCTAGAAGGACAAGGGCAGCAGACCTATGGGAACACCACCACACACCCAATGGCATACATAATACCTTTATTTCAATGTTCCCCTTAACAATATATATCTGTATACATCCAACGATTGTAATTATTATACAGACATTGTAGCATATGTACAACATCAGGAATATTTACATCCTGACTTCGAAATGTATCACCGTTCTTTCACTGTTGCTGGGTCAAAATCCTGGAATTCCCTCCCTAATGGTATTGTGGGTCAACCCACAGTAGGTGAACTGAAGCAGTTCAAGTAATCAGCTCACCACCACCTTCTTGAGGGCAACTAGGGAGAGGCAATAAATGCTGGCCAGCCGGTGACACCCACATCCTGCAAAAAAATGAATCAATTAAAAAAACAAAATTCTTTGATTAAATGACAATCTCAACAATTTTCATAATGTTGACCAGTTATGTAATTTGACAAGGTCCAGTGAATGTTAGATGGGTTTTTGGCAAAATCTCATATTTCCTAAAAAGAGCCAGATCGATACATTTATGCATATTATTGGTTGGAATTAAACAAGTCTGACTTTCTAGACTGCCATATTGTTGAAGTTCATCATGCATAGATTCTTACAAACCACAAAAGTCAAGTTTCATTTTCCAAACTGTTAAGTTCTGTTATGTAGAAATTTTTTTGATGCCCTGAGCAAGGTAAAGGAAAAATGGATTGAGCTTCGTGCACCTGTGAGGAAAGTGCATGTGTAAGAGCCTCTCGTGAACCCAGAATTAAGTTTTGGCAGTGTTGTCAAATAGGGTAGCAACTGATTGTGTAGTCATTGCAAGTAAGGAATGCCTACTAAGGATATGAATAGAGAATGTCTAGTGCCCACGGAATAGGATCCCATAGTTAGCCTTTTGATGAGAGAGATTGCTTGTCAATGATGGCAATCACTTTTGAGCTGTTTAGTATCAAAGTATCAGTCTTTTGTGGTTACTCACAAGTACCTAGTACAATACAAAACAAAACTGGCAGGAATCATGAGAATATCAATTAGGCTGTTTTGCATGCAGAATAAAATTTGGCAACATACAAGCAAAATTAAGTTAACTTTGCTTTTTCAAACAGCCTGTAAATGCCTTTGCTGCCCTAGAATTGGAGGAGGAGCTGGAGGAAGAAGAAGAGCTGGAGGTTGAGAACGAGAAGGACGTATCCCAGGCAAAGGGATCCAAAGGCAATTCAAAAGTCAAGGTGAATATATTAGAATATAAGCAACTTTATTTTTGTCAGGCCTGTATATACTACCTTAATAATATACATGTTTATGGCTAGGGACAATTGTTCAGCCCAGCAGCAAGTTACAATATTAACAGGAGTCAGTAACAAATGCTGGTGATACTTTGACTGTAAATGAAAATGGTGGAACATGTTTTCTCCTCGCAATTATATTCTGAATTATTTTGCTTGCTGTTGGTATGTGCTTTACATTTGATTAATGTCTGTTTGATTTTATAGAACTATAGATAATTTCAGCAGCAGCAGTAAGCTTGTTTCTGTAGCTTGGTGTAGAGGAACATTCCAGTGAGAACCACAGTGAACAAGGGGGTGTAGCGGGGAAATCAAATGCAGTAACTAGCTGGCTGAAGCTGCAAGAGCTTGTTGAATAGCCAGATTTCTAGGAGGTTTTTAAAGGTGGGTGTAATTGAACAAGCAAACTGAATATAAGAAGTTGTGCTGTACTGATAAGGGGTGGTGGGGGGAGCGGTGTGGGGGACAGTGGTAATAATAGCGACCATCAAACTACCAGGTTGTTGTAAAACACCCATTTAGTCCATTGATGTCCTCCACAATGGTCTATTGATTGACTGTTGACTGCCCACTGAGCAGGTCTATGAAACTTTTCATTTGCAACAAATCACTACAGAAAAGTTCAACAGAAAACAAACTAGATGGCCTACCCATCATTGATCTAGACACCAGAAACAAACAGCAAACCTGCCCAGCCAGCTCCTGCAGATATTGCTAGCCTCTCTGGGATGTACCAAAATTGGGTTTGTATATCCAGCCTGGTTAACCACCAGTTTGACATGGTCCTACTCGTCAGTTTATACCTTGCATCCAATGTCTTGCATGCCTTAAGAACGTGGTAGGCCAGACCTGGCAGAAGTGTCAACATTATTATATAATTAAGAGATAACAAGGGATAATAAGAGAGCTGGATGAACACAGCAGGCCAAGCAGCATCAGAAGAGCAGGAAGGCTGACGTTTCGGGCCTAGACCCTATTATATAGTTGGCAGGATATTTTCATGGGGTCCTGATCATTATCTGCAGAATAAATGAAATCACATGGCATCTTCTGCTAATAACCATGCTGTCTACTACTGTCCCTCAGCTGTACTACCCCATTTTGAACACCACCTGAAAGTAGTGCTGAAAGTACCAAAGACACGGAAGGTGCACATGATGTGAGACTTCAGTTCCCATCATCGAGAGTGGCTTGGGAGTGTTATTACTCATGGATCTGAAAGGCAAATTGGACTGGCTTAGAGGTGCAACAAGCTGTGAGGAACCTAGAGTGAATGCCACGTCATTCTTCTGTGAATGAAAGGCTAGTCTTCACACCAGGATCATGTTATGTGCCACAACCATCGTGCTAAATGGAATATGTCTGAACAGTTCTAGCAGCTGAAAACCAGACATCCCTGAGGCACTGTGGGTTATCAGCAGCAGAAGAATTGTATTCAATAACAAATTAACGTCTGGTCAGGCATATCCTTCACTTTAACCATCAAACCAGAGAATCAACTTAGTTCAATGAGAAATGCAAGAGAGCATACCATATGATTCAAAATTGCCTTGGAATGCCCTGCCCATAAAACAAGGATAAATCCAATCTAGCCATTTCCCACTTCATCAGCCTACACTCGGTGATCAGAGAACTCATGGAGGGTGTAATTAATAATGCTATTTCGTAGCACTTGCACGGCAATGATCTAATCACTGATGCTCAGTTTGTATTCTGCCAGGGCCATTGGTTGATAACCTAATTGCAGCCTTGGTCCAAAAATGGATAAAAGTTGATTTCAGCAGGTGAAGTGAGTGTAATGCCTTTGACATCAAGGCAGGATTTGACAAAGTGTGACATCAAGATACCTGAACAAATTCAGAAATCAATGTGAATTGGGAGGAAATTTCTCATTTTGGTTCTCAAATATAACAAATTTTGATAGTGATTATTGGAACCAAATCATTTCGGCCACAAGACATTGCTGCGAGAATTCGTCAGGTCCAACCATCTTCAGCTGCTTTATCAATTGTGTAATATCCATTGTAAAGTCAGGAATACTAATTTCACTGATTACAGTTTCCAGCATCCTTTATGACTCCTTAGGTACTGAAGCAGTCCAAGTCTATATGCAGCGAGACCAAAACATGTTCAAGCTTGGACTGAAAAGTGGCAAGTAACTTTTGTGCCAGGCACTGTGCACCTCCAATGAGAGCCAATCTAACCATCTCCTCATTCCCATCGATAAATCTCCTCCTGTCGTAATCCTGCAGTTACTACCGACCAGAAATCTAATTGGACCACTCATAAATATACTGGCTGCAACAGTCGGCTAGAGGTTTGGTGTTTATTGCAAATAACTCATTCTGAGTACCTCAAGCTTCCCCACCATTTGTATGGCACAAGGCGGCTTGCAGGAGTACAAGTCCAATAATGCTCAAGAAGATGGGCTGATGCGCTGAGGAGTGGCAAGTGGAATTTAGCTTCGACAAATGAGGTGTTGCATTTTGGTAGGGCAAAACAGGGCAGGACTTACACACTTACTGGTAAGGTCCTGGGGAGTGCTGGTTCATTGTTCCTTGAGAGTGGAGTTGCAGGTAGACAGGGTAGTGAAGATGATGTTTGGTATGCTTGCCTTTTATTGGTTAATACATTAAGTACAGGAGTTGGGATGTTATGTTGCAGCTGTACAGGACACTGGTTAGGCCACTTTTGGAATACTGTGTTCAATTCTGGTCTCTGTGCGATATGAAGGATGTAGAAAGGGTGCAGAAAAGATTTACAAGCATGTCACCAGGGTTGGAGGGTTTGAGCGATAGGGGGAGGCTGACAAGGCTGGGGCCATGTTCCCTGGAGCGTCGGAGGTTGAGTGGTGACCTTATAGAGGTTTATAAAATCATGAGGGACATGGATAGGGTGAATAGACAAGGTCTTTTTCCTAGGGTAGAGGAGTCCAAAACTAGAGGGCATTGGTTTTAAGATGAGAGGAGAAAGATTTAAAAGGGACCTGAGGAGCAATATTTTTGCAGAAGGTGGAATGAGTTGCCAGAGGACGTCGTAGAGGTTGGTACAATTACAACATTTAAAAGGCATCTGGATGGGTACATGAATAAGAAGGGTTTATAGGGATATGGGCTGTTTTTGTGCTGTACAACTCTGACTTTAAACTTAACACCATTCAGAATAGGTACTCATCAGCTACCAAACCCTTCATTACTGACACAGAATAATAGTCTGCATCATATACATCACCATTCCAAGCCCCTCTTACCTTCATCTTCCAAATTCATTACTGCAATCATCTGGAACATACCCCTTACTGGGGTAGCATGCTGGAAATTAATCCGGCTATTCCTGGTGTCATTACAAAAGTTAAAAATTTCTAATTATTTAAAATTCCCCATTTTAACCTGTCTTTTAAACCCATGTTGACAAGACATACGGACCAGGTTTTAACTGCAATAAATATTTATTCATTGATTCTAGTTACAGATAAACAAGTGTGAACCACCAATATCTTAGAACATTATTAAAACATTAACCTCCCTGATAAAACTCTACCTTGAGTATACCCAAAAAAATGGGTGGTATGGTTGGAGGGAAGGACTGGAAAGGCAGTTTGAGCCCCTGTCACTGGTTCACTGAGATGATCATTTTAACTTAGTTTTCTGCTCCTTGATCTTGCTACTCCAGCTACTTTCACTTGCTTGCAGCAGGCACAGAAGTACTGTTTCACACTTGTAAAGCCACTGCTCACAGCAACTGATGAAAGGAAATGAATTTGCTTTTTTCAGGCTTGAGTATTTGTATTGCAGAGAGAATGACAGCTCCTTCCTTTCCAGAGGTCTGACATCTCTGATCAAAGCATTAACATCTACAAAGATGAGAATGCTTGGATCAGCCTCACCCTCCACCTCAACAACTTCTCTTTTAACTCCTCTCAGTACCTGCACGGGCCCTAGTTATGCCTATCTCTTCATGGAGTACGTGGAATATTCCTTGTTCCAGTCCTATTCAGGCCCCCACCCACAACTCTTTCTCCGGTACATCGATGATATCATCGGTGCTGCTTTCCTCTCTTGTCTGGAATTGGAAAACTTCATCCAATTCGCCTCCAATTTCCACCCTGCCCTCACTTTCACCTGGTCTATCTCTGACTCTTCCCTTTCCTTTCTCGACATTTCTGTTTGCATTTCTGGGAATAGACTGGCCAGTAATATCCACTACAAACCCACTGCCTCCCACTGCTACCTGGACTATACATCCTCTCACCCCACTCCCTGTAGAGATTCCATCCCATTCTTTCAGTTCCTTCGTCTCCATCGTATCTGTTCAGATGAGGCCACCTTTGACAAGGGGGCCTCCGAAATGTCCACCTTCTTCCTCAAGCGAGGATTCCCCAGCTCTGGTGTTGACAGGGCCCTCAATCAGGTCTGACCCATCTCCCACACTTCCGCCCTCACTCCTTCTCTTCCCTCCGCAATAGCGATAGGGTTCCCCTTGTCCTCAACAATCACCTCACCAGCATACACATCCAGTAGATCATCAGACACCATTTCCACCACCTCCAGCAAGATGCCACCACCAGACACATTTTCCTCCCCTCCCTTGTCTGCCTTCTGCAGGGACCCCTGGTCCACACTTCCTTCACCCCCAACGCGCACATGCAGACACACGCACACATAGACACACGCACAGCCCCATGGCACCTTCCCCTGTAACCGGTGAAGGTGCAACGTATCCAAGGGCCCAAACATACCTTCCAAGTGAAACCGCACTTCACCTGCACTTCCCAGAATCTGGTCTACTGCATTCGCTGCTCACAATGTGGTCTCCTCTACATTGGGGAAACGAAGCGTAGACTAAGTCACCACTTTGCAGAACATCTATGTTCTGCTCGCAAAAGAAACCCTGAACTTGTCTGTTGCCTGCCACTTTAACACACCACCCTGATTCCTGGCCAACATCTCTGTCTCTGGCTTGCTGCAGTGTTCCAGCGAAGCCCAACACCGGCTGGAAGAACAACACCTCATTTTCCACTTCGGGACCCTACAGCCCTCCAGACTCAATATTGAGTTCAATAATTTTAGGGCCTAAACTCTCCCATGTCCCAGCCCCCTACCTCACACACCAGGCCTTGTTATCACATTGCCTGCCATTACATGCTACCTATTGTTAGTTACTAACAGTCCCCATTAACAACTATTCACCTTTCCAGCCTGGTAGTTATCAACTTCTTTCTGTCCAACTGTCTTTCTCTCTCTTTAGGGCCCTATCCTATTGTTTACTCCCTACCCCAACCACCTCTCTCTTTTCTGCATATAAACAGTCGTTTTCTCAGCCACCATCAGTTCTGAGGAAGGGTCACTGGGCCCAAAACGTTAACTGTTTTTTCCTTCACAGATGCTGCCAGACCTTGAGTTTTTCCAGCAACTTCTTTTTCCTGATTTACAGCAGCCGCAGTTCCTGTGGTTTTTATTCTCATCTACAAGTTGTTCAGCTACCTGGGAACCAATCACATACTTGTTGGCCTTCATCATCAACAAGTCACTATTCCCCAGACTAATCAGCTGCTTATTGCTGGCCAAATCACATCCCTTGGCTGTAACTAGACTTCCCTGATTGTTTGAATAAACAATAGTGTAAACAGCACTCAGAATTAGTCAGGTAACTTGCTTTTAAAACTTTTCCACAGTCCTTGGTCTTTCCACTTCAGAGCACAATCAAAAATACAGAAAAGTAAGGTTTGGTCATGCAGCAGACAAGCTCCATCATTTGCAATTTCCCTTTCAAAAGGTACACCATCTGAGCTTAGAGTTCCATCACTGTGTTGAATCAAAAGTCTGGAACTCTCTTCCTAGCACCTACCGACCTCTGCATGTACCTACATCTGTTGGACTGCAGCAGTTGATTTGTTATTGTCTTCCCAAGGGCAATTAGAGATGGGCAGCATAGGCTAGGCTTGACCAAAACATTTACATTTAATGAGGTATTTTTGAAAAATGGGAGGTTTTCCCCATTTTGCACAGAAGGGTTAGAGCCAGGGTGGTCGTAGCTGGGCAAGCAGTGTGAAATTTACCAGTGCTCTCTGCATTTGGTTATATAGTTGTAGCTAGTTGAGGCCCAGAAAGTACTCAACATATTTGAGGATTTGTGGTCCTTAGTTCTGCCAAAGCTGACTTAATTAAGTTGAATATGGGTGTGTTCTTTAAGGATACTTCGGAATCAACACACACAAACAAAGAATTTCTCAGCAGCTTGTGGAGAGATTTTAAATATAGCTTTAGTTTTCTTTTTGACAAATCAAGTTGACTTAAAAAAAGCTTCCTCTTGGCTTGTGCCAGAGTTTCCTTTGGACTAAGCTCAGAACTAAGGAAAAATTACCTTCTATTCCTTGTACCACACGAAATGGTTATAAACACAACTCAAACCCACAAACATGCTGATGTTTTTCATTCCCTGACAATGCAGGTTGAAGCTAGTGAAGACGAAATGGAAATGGATGAAAAGGCTGCGAAGGAGAAGACAACTGATGACAAGTACGCTAATATGAGCAAAAAAGAGAAGAAGAAACTGAAGAAACAGGTAAGAATTATGTTACTGTTCACACTTGAGCACTTGTGTTTTGTAGTTCTCAGCAAAATCTGAAACTAAGCTGTGCTGCATTTCACTGGAGTGAAGAGGAGGGATTATTTTGCTCATTTGGTATTTTTCGTTGTCCACAGGTGGGTGCTTTAATAAATTGCTGTGCTCCTAACATCTACAAAGTTGAATTCTATGGTACCAAACAATTGTGATCAGAAAGCAAAACCAAGGCTTTAACCAAAATGACCGCTTCGGTTTACTTGGGGAGCCAAAACAGGAAGGAGGAGGATTACCTGAAAGATGACAAATTAGGAAAGTGGGAATATAACGAGATTTGGGTGTCCTTATGCACCACACTCTGAAAGTAAGCGTGCAGGTGCAGCAGGCAGTGAAAAAGGCACATGGTCAATTGGCCTTCAAAGTAAGAGATTTGAATACAGAAGCAGCAACGTCTTGCTGCAAGTGTGCGACTTGCCTTGTGAGACCATATCTGGAGTGTTGTGTGTAGTTTTGGCCTCCTTGTGTGAGGAAGGATGTTCTTGCTACAGAGGGATTTGCCAAAGGTTTACTGGGTTCCTGGGATGGCAGGAGGGAAGAGACACTGGTTCAGTTAGGACTATACTGCCTGGAATAATGAAGGGGGGGGTATCAAAGAAACCTATAAAATTCAATAGGACTAGCCACGCTAAACGCAGGAAGCATGTTCTCAATGACTGGGGAGTCCAGAACTAGGGTTTACAATCTAAGGATTCGGGGTGGGCCATTTAGAATTGCGATGAGGGAAGGTTGTTTCACCCAGAAGAGTCGTGAGCTTATGGAATTCTCTGTCACAGGAAGTAGTTGAGGCCAGAATGTTGAATATTTTCAAGAAAAAGTTAAATATAGTTCTTGGGGCTAAAGGGATCAAAGGATATGCATTAAAAATAGGAACAGGATACTGCACAGCATGATCAGCCAAGATCATACTGAATGGTGGGGCAGGCTTAAAAGGCTGAATAGCCTACTCCTGTTCCTATTTTCTATGTTTGTGTAGTACTTACTTTAGGAGCTAATGTGCTTCTTCACTTTTTTGTGTGCTCCAAGAACAACTGGTTCCACATCCACAAATGTGTTACTGCAATTCCTGGCGTTGAATGATAGCCAAAGGAAGGTACCATGTCGAGCACTCAAGTTGTTCCCTTACATATGCGCAGCTGCGCAAAGAAAATTTAAAGGCACCATGGTTACTCATCCATTCAACAGCTTCAGGTGAAGTGGTGTGAATGCTTGTGATGGTATCGAGTGTGGATCTTGTGGGGTAGAAGTTCAGTATGTGGACAGTGGTCCAATTTACACAACGCAGTCACAATCTGACTTGTGGAATGTGACCACAGCTTCCCTGGCTTGTCATCAAGTGATTCTAGATTGCTTAGATTTTCAGTGGAAGGTTGATGCCTGGGTCTTGACTTTGGTCATTTACCTATTTTCAGTCACCTGGCAGGTGGCACTGTGATCAATTACAATGGGAGTGAATTGTGTTCCAGTTTGGGGTGGGGGAGGAGGGAAGCGGGGAGGACTTCAGGATTTCTGTCAGGTTATAGTGTCTTATTTATTCATGTTCTTTTAACGGGTGTGCTTTGTAAACACTCAGTTTGGTGGTGTACTTTGGGTGGATGTTTTTCCTGTGGACTCAAGATGTTCAATGTCTGCTCGTACTGGAAGCCATTTGAACTGTGTTGGTCACTGTTCCAGAAATTGCTCTTTGACATCACAGAGGTATAAATGTACCATGTTGTGTGGTGTTTTCTAAGTCAGATTGAGAAGCTGTACTGTGCTGTCGGGTAAATGAAGCCATGCGCAGTGTGGTCATGCTACCATGCGCAGGTGGTACCTGCTCGTTTTTGGTTGAGATCCACTTTGATCATGATCTTGGCTGTTATGTGTTATTGGTGTTAGCTGTTATGTCAATGTACATTTGAAACTGATGCCAACGTTTTTTTGCATTGGGTCGTGCACAAGTAGTTGACCACAGACCAGAAATTTTTTTTCTTGCCCTTGAAGTTTTTCAGTTAGATAGTTGAAACAACAGTCTTGCAACATTTGGTCAAATTCTCCAATTTTTTATTTTTGAACTAGGCTTCCAGGGCACAGAGACCTTTAGTGAGTATCCTGAAGTTCTTTAAACTGGAGAGCCAGGGCTAATGCAGTCATTTATGCAAAGAACTGAGGAAGGAGGTCACTAGTATAAACGCTGAAGACCGCCAGTGCTGATCCCTGTGAGACTAACTGTTGCAGGCCTGCCCGAAGTGGGGATTGGCCATGGCTAATTTATCTGTTAATTCTTAAAGCATAAATACAAAAC